GGTTCTGATATGTCCTTTACAGTCAATCCTGTTGCAACTGCATTCGAACCGAACACAGATTGAAGGGCTGAATTAAGAACACTTCCATTGTCAAATGCAGCTTTCACAGAATTCGCTATGGATTGAGAAGGTGCAGTAACTTGCAGCAATAGTGAGGCATCTGCGACACCTTTTACACTGCGAAACCAATAATTGTAAAAATTGCTTCCTTCTAGGAAAAATATTCTAACTGCCTTAGGACTTGAAAGATTAGCAAATGGTGTCGAACCGGCACGCGCAAAGGTTGTATTAATACCAGAAGCTCCTATCTGACTCGACAAATCCTTATTCAAAGCTGTTCTGAAAGCTGAGTTATTCTGTGGAGAATTAAAACTTTGCGCAGTAACACCTGCTAAGTCAGCTTCAACATTCACAGCAAATTGACCTGGCTCAGGAGCTATATAAAAAAACAGAAGCTAGGTTAAAGCGGTAAATAGAAAAAACCAGAATCTTACTTGGTACAATCTGCGTTGGTATTGGTGTCGCCTACGAAGCAATAAGTAAAGACACAAAAATAAACAAGAATATCACGTACCGTTGGAGTCGGACTTGGAGTTCGGACTTGGAGTCGGACTTGGAGTTGGCGAAGGTGATGGTGTTGGAGACGGCGTTGGAGTACCTTGTTGGAGTCGGAGTTGGAGAAGGTGACGGTGTTGTAGGCGCTGAATACTGGAGTTGGTGTAGAAGTAGGAGTCTGTTGTTGGAGTTGGAGAAGGCGTTTTCGTCACCAATACTGGAGTTGGTGTAGAAGTAGGAGACTTTGCTGGAGTAGGAGAAGGCGTTTTCGTCACCAATACTGGAGTTGGTGTAGAAGTAGGAGACTTTGCTGGAGTAGGAGAAGGCGTTTTCGTCACCGGTACTGGAGTTGGTGTAGGAGTTGGAGACTTTGCTGGAGTAGGAGAAGGTGTTCTTGTCGTCACGGGATCCGGAGCTGGGGTTCTTGTTGGAGAAGGAGTCGGAGACTTTGTCGGAGTTGGCGTAGGTACAGGTGTTGGAGAAGGAATAGGCGTCCTTGTTGGTGTTGGAGAAGGAGTCTTTGTTGGAGTGGGAGAACTCGTCGGCGTCGGATCAGGAGTAGAAGACTTTGTGGGTGACGGACTAGGAGTGGCACTTGGCGTTGGAGAAGAAGTTGGAGACTTCGTAGGAGTAGGAGTCTTTGTAGCTGTTGGATCCGCCGTTGGAGTTGGTGACGCGGCTGCTCCACTTAAGGTGGTAGAAGGCACCGAAGTGGCCGAAACCGCCTTACCGGTACTTCCAGAACTGCGCGGGCTCAGGGCTCCTAACAGAGTGGCACTTGGAGTTTGTGTAGGTTCAGGTGCTTCTGTGGGATGTGGTGCCTCTGTAGGATCAGGTGCTTCTGTAGGATCGGGAGAGGAAAAACCTGTCGATAGTAGGGAAGGAAACACACTGAACACGCCTGAAGAAGAGAAGCTCGACGGTATCGCAGAAGAAGCACTTGTAGCTGAAGCTGAGCTCAGAGAGGTGAGAGGTGTAGAACTACTTGCTGCTTTTGGTGTCGAACTAAAGGTTGCTGGGTTTGTAGCACTGGCTGAAGAACTCACTGTTGGTGTAGTTTTTGCAGTAGGAGATATACTTATTCCTCCTCAAATATAGCTTCAACAAACAAAATAAAACCACATGAACAGCACGACTCACCTATACTACTTTGAGAACCAATACCACCTGTCGAGGTAACAATAGAGCTAGGTTGAGCTGTGCTAGGGGATAAAGAAGTTGACGAAGTAGCACCTATTCCAAAAGACATGATTAATATAATTGGTCCAAAGATTACGCTCACTTTTTGAAGTGGCGACGCTTGACGACGGAGAGGTCTGAGGCAGAGAAGCAGTAGTGCTAACAGTCGGCAAAGTCGAACTAGTCAGTGGAGTATGCGACACCAACTGACTCGGAGGAGACGAAGAAGTCGAAGTCGTTCCAAAACTATTAGAAGCGCTTAATGATGACGCTGAAGAAGAGAATAGGGCGTTATTATTATTGTTGTTATTATCGTTATTATTGGTCGGATCGGATTGTTGAATACCTGTCGTAACGGGTCAAGATGACTGGAATTACTTTCTACGCTCATACTCCCTCTCCTCAAACCAAACGAGAAATAGTGCTTACCTTGCGATGAAGAAGTACTACTTGTAAAGGAAGATGTTTTAGAGTTGCTCCCAGAACCCTGATTCGTACTTCCGTCACTTGGAGAAATAGCACTTTGTGAAGGACCTAAGGCTGTTTAAACTGTAGTGCGAAAACAAAAAAATAAACCAACCTGCCAAACCATTCGCGCCACTTGTTACTGTCGCGCCTTTCGGGGAAGAAAGCTGTCTGTCAACACTCCAAGGAAAGGGTTCCAGTTTGTTCCTTGTCATCATCTCGCTGCTTTCTACTTCGCTCAGAACCTGGGACTTGATAAGAACCACAGACAATATGCATATTATCGCCAAAACCACCACAAATTTCTGCGAGCACAAGTTGGTTATAGCAACACTAATAGGTCTATGTAAAGTACTAGAGTGCACGGTGTGCGGGTAGTTCCTTGAACTCAAGTTGCCACGACGGTGCAACAAAGTACCTTCGAAGCGTTGCATAAATGATAGCGCCTTCACTTTTAAATTTTACTCAGCAACCGCAACGAAAATCCACCAGGTCAACTTATTAGCTTTGATTGAATGTTCGAAGAGTTGGACAAGCCTTGCATTTTTCTTTGACACGATCAAAATTCATATATGAGGGTGCGGAGATCGATTCTATCTTGATTTGCCATTTTTGGAAACCTCTGTCATTTTCTCGCCATTTGTATTTTAATCTATTTCACGAATAACGTGGCAACATTATTTATCGATTATTGTGCCGCTTCCACCTGAAGCGTCGCATGGATTGTACTCTATACTATTTTCGCTTGTCGGGCGGATCCCGTCGTTGTGTCGATATTGCAGTAGAATACTACGCAGAATGGGAAACACGATGAAATTGTTTTATGCTTCCGTTTGCTGTATATGTATACTGACGTTATTCACTGACGCCGAATCCCCTTTTTTTGCGCCATGCAAACCAGGTTTGCCGTTGTCAGGCACAGCGCAAGCCAGTGCATGTAGTACGTGTAGCTTCATACTGTTAGGATAACTCTGACGACGAGTTGTAGAGACTCTTTTTTCAGTCAAAAGCGATGAAGTAAGTTTGCATCTTGTATTTTAGTTGCTGTTGACGCAGTACAAATTCAGACTGCTATGAGAAGCCTCAGAGTACAGTACGCAGCGGGAGATATTAAGTCAAGGCAAGTTTCTAGTTCTGTCGTCGCAACCTACGTTCCTCTGCCTCTTTTTGCATTTTTTGAGAGCAGACAAACTAACTTATCGGGTTTAACTGGTCTATTCACGCAAACACCGCAGAGCAGCTTGTCAGGTGACTCTTCCTTATCTGGAACGACATCAACTACTCCTCTGACAAACTCTTCAACTTCTCTCGGATCACAGGTACCCTCTGGGTCAATAGGCGCTTCTTCAAATCCTCAAGCATCCTCTACTTCATCAAGCCTTAAAGCAACACCGACACCTACGGTTCCTTTAGGTATTCCTGCGTCTACTCCTAGCCCTAAGACTTCTCCTTCGGTATCCTCCACTAGCTCTGCCAACGGTTTATCTGTTTCAGCTACTCCTACAGTTTCCACTTCCCCCTCGAGAACTGCGTCTCCTTCACCTTCTCCGTCTTCTTCTCCTTCTGCCAGTCCTACTCCAACTCAGGTTTCAACAAATAGCTCTGTAACTGCGTGGCCACAGAGTTGGCCATCTGGTTATTATGCCACGAATATTGCAGCCAACGTTGCAAATTTGTCTGTGTCTAGCTTCACGAGTAGTCTTGGAAGTTTCCAGTCCGCATTCGATATTGGTGTTAGTACAGCTCTTAATATAGCTTCAGGAAAAGTGCAACTTAACTATACTGCGGCTTCTTCTCATTTATTTCCTTCCTTTGGACCGTACAATAGTAGCAAACTGTCTATCAAAAGGTTTGGACTAGTTTTCTATCGACAGCCTTTTATTCGAGCAGATAGTAATACCGATTGTGCGTTATACCTTCAGACTTTGGCTACATCGTCAAATCTTGCTTCGAGTGTTCAGTCGCTGTTCAACTCTGTAAGCATTTTTCTATCGTATTTACTTTTTCTGAGACCTTGTAGGATACTAATAGTGATTTGCAGAGCTACCTTCAAGCAGTATACGGTTCTGATGTGAAAGTTATTTCTCAAGCGGCAAGGGTCGCGCAGCTTCACCAGAATAGTTCGCCTGTTATCTCTGTGTCTCAGCCTGTTGCGAGCACATCCAATAGTTCGTTATCTACTGGAGCTATAATTGGCATTGCTGTTGGTGGTGCTATTGCAGTATTCATTATCGTTGGTGCTATAGCTTTTTGGCTTATTCATAAGCGCCGAAAACGAGTCAAGGAAATGTTGGGCTCTTCATCAGAAAGGGAACTTGAGAATCAAAAAAGTTCCAGTGAAAAGCTGGACTCTCAATTGGAAAGCACGAGTCTTCCAGAACATGTCGAAGAAGTTATCCCACAAGACACAGCCAAGACATCTTTACAGAATAGTTTTATTGGTACTCATGCAAATTCAAGTCTTCGAGAACTTGTTCGAGAGCGTCTATTCAATGGGATGATTTTTGCTGTTGATACTGGCAAAGGGAGCTGGAAAGTTTTGGTACTTGATCGGAGATGTTTGAAAATTATTTCCTCTGTATGTAACTTGACAGATATATTGGCAAATGGGGTATCTTTAGTAGAGTCGTTGAATGCAAATCGAGAACGACTTCCTCGTATGGCAGCGATGTATTTTGTGGATCCCAATTTGGAAAGTATATCAAGAATTGTTGCAGATTTCGAAAGAACTTCACCAGTTACGGAATATAAGGGAAAGGTTGGAAGCACCATTCATTTGCAATATGGTTCGGCGCATTTATTTACAACCAATTACACTCCTGAGCCTATCATGACCTTTATAAGGGAATCTCCTGGGTTAGTCGCCAATCTTCAAAGCTTCACGGAGTTGCACATTGATTTCATGGCCTTTGAAGAAAGAATTTTCTCGTTGGATATGCCATCTAGTATTTCTGAACTCTTTTGTCCTGATCAACACAAGAGTCGCCAACATTGTGAGGCAATAGCATCCAAGCTAGTAACAGTTTGCAGTGTTTTGAAGGAACGTCCACGTATTCGCTGTTCCAATTCTCAGCCAGTATCTCAATGCATTGCAGAATTTTTCCTTCAAAAGTTGGATGAATACGAAGCACAAGTGCCGGAAGGCTTATCAGGAAATCCGCAACGTAGAGGATGCAAGACCACAACATTTTTAATTTTGGATAGAACTGTTGATCTGATTGAACCTTTGATACATGAGTTTGGTTACCAAGCTATGTGTCAAGATCTTTTGTTGGCTGAAGACCCAGAAGTAGTGGGATCAAAATATACGTATAGCACACATGATGAAAAAGGAGCTATTGTTTACAGAGAGAGTGAAATGGATGAAAATAATGATTCTCTGTGGAGAAAGCTTCGTCACTTACATGTAGCTGAAGCTATTGAAGAGTTGACTCTATCATTTAATCGATTTTTAGAACAAGACAAAACGGCACAGTTACAGCTCCGGAAGTCTTCGAATGGAGTGACTTCAGTACATGACTTGAAGACACTTCGTCAAGCTGTTCGTAATATGCCGACATATGCAGATCGACTTGCCAAGTTTAGTCTTCATACACAGTTATTGGATGAATGTATGCGTCTGTTTTATGAAAGAGACTTGGAAAGGATCAGTTCTTGTGAACAAGACATGTCGGTAAGTTTTTGTCTTGCAAGCTTTTGATTGTCCAATTAAGAGTTGTCTCAGACTGGATTCACAGCAGATGGAAAGGCCGTGAAGGACGTTGGAGTAAAATTGTTTTCAATCTTGAGAGACGATAGCATAGGTTATTTGGAGAAGCTTCGTTTAATAATGTTAAGTTTAATAACTCAGCCAATGAACGTAAGTCATGGTGCATTGGTATACATTTGCCTAAATAATATTTTTGTATAGTTCAAGGAACGCAGGAATATCTTAGAGACTTCTGGCATTCCCGACGATAAGCAAACAGCAGCGCTTAATTTGTCTGCTCTTGGTGTGACAGCTGAAAATTCGAAGTTGATTCGAAAGCAACTAAAGGAGCGAACCAAGAAAAAATCGAAGCAAGCAAAGGAACAATATGAGTTATCTCGTTATGTTCCATTGTTGCAGGACATTGTCACAGATTTTATCACTGGGGGTCTTTCCAGAAGTAGCTATCCTTTAGTTGGTGGGAAAAACGATAGTGCTGTTTCTGAAGATGACGATGATGAACAAGGTCGACATAGAAGAAGAGCTAGAAGTCATAGAAGAAGGTCCCGAAGTGCTAGTGCTGTTCGACAACGTTCACATTCTTCTGCTGGTTCGAGAACATCGGGAAGTGACCTAACTGATGATGATGGCTCACAATCGAAAGGAAAGGAGTCTTCTAGGAAAGAAGAACTTGCTCGTCCACGATACGTTGTCTTTATTGCTGGTGGAATAACAGCTACAGAAATGAGAATTGCTTACGAGCTTTCGGCTGCCTATTCCGTGGAGATTATTCTTGGTGGTAGCTGTGTTCTCAATCCTAAAAAGTTTGTTGAGCAAGTAGAGTCCGTACAACCTCGTTATGTAGAAAGTGTCATTGACTTTTTCTCTCCTGTCTCACCTTCTGAAGCAATTTCTCCTCGCTCTTATTCCAGTGATCATATAACTTCACCAAGACCTACAGATAGTAATAGAGTGAAAGATGATGTAGTAAGAAATTTAGATAAGAAATTGAAGTAATAGGGAAATGAGGGAATTGAGAGAATCTTTGGCCATTGCGTGGCATTGTTGTAACAAAAATGCTCATTGTACACTCTCTTAGGGAATTTTGATTTTGAGTTGGGAATTGGATTAGCGCAACTTTTTAAAATGTCTTCGGCAACTCCTTCTGTGTCTATTCAAGCAAACACAAACTCTGAACCAAACGGACTTGTTCCCCAAGTCAATGGTTCCAATATAGTTTACGCTGTTGTCGCAAGAGGTACCAACGTATTAGCGCAACATTCTTCCGAAAGGGGGAACTATGAAGCTATTGCCGCTCGCATTTTAGCAAAGGTACCCGAACATAACGTGAAGAGTTTCTATGAAAACGACAGCTTGAGTTTCAACTTTCTAATTTCCGACGGGGTAACGTATCTATGTATAGCAAGGTAGGAAAAAAGTCTTTTCCGTTGTACCTTTTCTGAACCCACTTACCTTGAAGGAAGTTGTACCCACGAAGATTGGTGTTTTCTTTCTTGGAGGAAATTAAGAAACGCTTTCTGTCTCTGTATGCTGATCAAGTCAGTACTGCAGGTCCTTTACAAATGCAGCACGACTTCCGTCCCATTTTGCAACAGCAAATGGAATACTTTAGTAACGAAGCGGAAGCTGATAAACTTGCTAAAGTGCAGCAGCAAGTAGACGAGGTCACCTCAGTTATGAGATCCAATATAGACGAGGCTCTGAATAGAGGTGAAAGACTCGACGTTCTCGTGGATAGAGCTGAAGACCTCCGAGGAGGAGCAAGTCAATTTCAAAAGTCTTCAACACAACTTAAACGCAATTTTTGTAAACGAAATATGAAGATTATCATTTGCATCGTAATAGTTGTCGTTCTTATTGCACTAGCTATTATCCTTGGTGTTGTGCTGACCCAACGAAATAGCAGTAGTGGCGGAAGCGGTGGAAGCAGTAATAACAGTGGCAATTCAACTAGAATTGTTTGGCAGTGACTAGTTGAATTTCTTACTGTTGAGCATATTGGTAGCTTTCTGTTGTATTGCTAAACATACTTTGTCATGAAAGCGAGGCGATAAACTTTTTCTTCGAGTTTGATACACAATGACTGTTGGGAACCAATCAACTTGTGAACAAAAGGCTCCAAGGTTAGTCACATTGAATAATGTTCTCTTTCCTTAATAAAGAAAGTTGGCGTGATACTAATTCGTTTGCACTGCAATATTTCCTTCGAGTCAAGAAGTACATAGTGTTTCTAAAATTATTCGAAATTTTAAGACATACGCTTCAAAACACGATACCATGTCACTGTTGTTGCACAAAAATGGCTTATTCCGACGATGGTTACCTCTAAGTGCGACACAATGGCAATAGAGTTGTCAAACCATGTTAAAAGGGTTTTTATCTCCTTCAAAAGTAAAAAAGCTGCCTTCAAGACTTCCATAAAATAGTTTCTCGAAACTATAGTTCTCGAAAAATTTGCAGAATTTCATCCTAAATGAAGGAGGGTTTTGGTCACGTGGACTGAAGAAGGAAATTTCTGGAATCGTTAAAAACCATTTCTATAAAAGCAAGCGTCAGATACATTGGAGGATGGCTTTAATAATTTTTCAATACAAGTGGGTTACAAGTTTGGTTGGTCATGGTAGAGTCCAAACTTCAAGACGGTGTTAGTGCTGCTCTTTGGACGGTTCGTTTCTTCCTGTATACTGTTATTTTAGGTAAGCTGAATTGTTTGAGAAATAAAAAGAGGGCTAATTATTTTTCCCAGCTTTCTCTGCTACTATTGTTGGACTAGATGGACGTAAAGCGGATAATATATGGAACGATAGTTTATTCTATGACGGCAAGTTTGTAGACTTTTGTGCCTATTCTGCTTCTTCTGTCGAGGAAGGAGGTGACCACGGAGCTTGTAGATATGTGATGGCGTTGGCTTCTATAAGCTTGATTCTGGTTTTCTTCCTCTGGTTATTTACCTTTGTAGATGCATTGTATCCTGTTCTTACCATGTTTTGGTTCATTGAATTGGGTATTAATGTATTTCAAACAATGTGGTGGTATGTGATATATCTTTAATAATTAGAAACGAAGACCGAGGTAGTTGTTTGTAGGTTAGTTGGAGCCATTGTTGTAAGTGCTAAAAGGCCTGACAGTTCCGTATTGGACGCTCTGGGTATTACAAAAGATATTAATGCCATCGAAGGTTTATCTTGGATCAACTTTGCCTTTAGCCTATTCTTATGTGGCATTTCTATCGCTGATGGTCTTTTGGTTGGTCAACGAGGCACCGGTTCGGGGAAACAAAATAGTGGAAACAACAATAGTAACACTGCATGAATAGATTGTTAGTCCTGTTGAAGTTGTAGAGTTGTATATAAGTTGTCTGTATTCAGTAACTTGCTGTTATTGCACAAAGATTAAAGGTTGTTTGAAGATAATAAACCTTACATTGTGAAGCTTTGCCTAAGCCCCTTTATGTTAGTTCTATCTATTCAAAAAGTTATAACAAATGAAAAATAGTTTATCTTACTACAAGTATTTCTAGCTGTTGGTAACTAAAAAGTATATAAAGCTTGTCGTGTCGTGGGATATAGAAGGGATACAAAAAATTAGAGTTTGAAGGTTTCAAATGATTATGAACTTCACCAAGTGCGTTAACCATTTTACAAGTACGTCATCAAAACATAGTACCAGAAAATAAAGAAACACAGTAATGAAATTGTCCTCTATAATTCTACAGAAAATAGAAGAAATTGAAACATATTAAATTCGGTTTATTCTGAACAAACAAAATGATGACAATCTATTGGCATCCTTCGCCTAAGAGTCCATCTTCATTTTATGAGCTATACGCACTAGTTGTATAAGATGGATAACTGCTGTAGCTGCTGTAACTGCTACTATACATCGGATAAGAACTGGAGTAACTTGGATAATAAGGAGTAGGAGTTGGTTCTTGAATGTAGTAAAAACCATATTCCAAGTTGCACAAAAGACATTCGAAGCACCATTGATAACATTCCAAATACCATTCTGGATAGTAATAAGTCATAGGAGGAGTTTCATAAGAAGTGTAGGTATTGGTTGAATAGGAAGATGTATACATTGGAGTCGAATAAGAAGAAGATGAGTATGTTGGAGTTGCATAGGAAGATGATGATGAACTATAAGCTCCACGAGAATAAGATGAAGACTGATAAGGAGTTGGTCGAACGTATCCAGATGGACAATATTTGTCAAAGTTGTTGCAGTAGAGGATATCAAGACCGTAGGGATAATAGAAATTGTACTTGGAGACATTAGCAACATGACAATTGAAAATTTTAAGATAAACTTACTTGTTGATAGCAATAGAGACATCCAGCACAAGCTTCAGCACAAGGCTCAATCCAAGGATAGGTAGTGTAGGAGGGATAAGAAGGACTTTCATAAGGAGTGGAATACATCGGTGATGAATAGACAGGACTATAAGCGCTACTATATCCTCTGACTTTTGAGGCTATATTGGAGTCTTTGAGAGGTCCTGCAACTGCATAGATCACAACTCCAAATAACAGAAAAGAAACTAGAGAAACTTTGTTCATGATGGATGTTACAAAATGTTCCAAATCACAATGCCAAAAATGATTATAGAAAGAAATTCCTCTTATATATGATTTAGCGTTATTTTGCAACCCCAAAGCCAACACATGATATAGCATTTTTCTTTTCTACAGGACAGAATAGAACCAACTGGATACTAATGGGTTCAACGGCAATTTTTATTTTCAAAGCCAATTTTGCATTTTTCTATTTATGACATTCCATTGGACTCTACTGAGGGTGCGGCTATTACAACTTGAATAAAACAGCAAAATTTCTGTGGTTTCGTTTATATACGCTATACATTGTTCTTTGTTACACTATGAATATTTGTGTCATAAAAAGACGTGCTTATTGTATACTCGATAATTTCAAAAATAAATGCAACCTTTTTGCTTTATTCAAAGTCCTTTGACCTTGCAACATCAATGATTGTTTTCTGCTTATTATAACACAATCAGTTGTATGATATAATCTTTTTGACTGTGCACGTCCATCGATCCTTACTTCTTAAAAGAAAATGGTCGTTTCTACTGGAATACTTGAAGTAGGTACAGGGAACGCTGAAAATGAAGAGATACCGCCACTCACGACACTAGAACTGGTTGTTGGGTTTGTGGAAAAAGATGGCGATCCATTGACAACATCACCTGAAGTGAAGGTTGGAATCGCTGTAGCAGATGTAATAGAATTGAAAGATGGAGATGGAGTGAAAATAGGCCCATTGAACACCACGGCTGTAGGTTGACTGATGCTAGTCGTTGGAACAGCTCCAAAGATTGGCTGAGAAGTTGGGTTCGAACTGAAACTTATGGGTGATAAAGTTGGTTGAGCAAATATAGTCGGAGTTGAAAACGATGAGGGCGTCGAGCTGGTTGAAAGACTGGGAATTTGGGAAGACTCAGGAACGTTACTTGAGATGACAATACCAGTAGGAAGTGGTTGAACCGTTGTCAGAGGAATTGCTGTTGAAACAGGTTCTGGAGCTTCTGTTGGTATCGGGGCTTCAGTTGGGATTGGAGCTTCGGTAGGAACTGGAGTTGCACAGCCGTTGCATGGAACTACAAAGACGTTAAAGGGCAATTGGGTAGTGCTTACGTCAGAATTCGCCAGTTGATCGTTAGTTGTTGGAGAAAATGATATCAGACTAGAAGGAGAAGGAGAAGATGAAGATATCGCACTAGCACTTGGACTTGAAGGAGCGTCTTGACTTGTGACTAGTGTTGTTGTTGAAGAAGTATCTGAACTAGCCATAAAACTGCTTGGCATGTATGATTGGAGGGAAGGTTGAGAATAGAGCATTAAACCATAGCCATAGTTTTGATATTCGTTCGTTATTTGCTTGGGTGACTCATAGATGAAGCCAAACTCCCAAAGACACTAGATGAACGATATGATTACTTGGAAACAAAGCAACACATTCAACTTACCAAAAGGCAATCAAAGCAAGTAATATGACAATCCACATACCTAGTTGTTGTTCATAATAGAACAAGTAGAAACGAGTGAGATACTTACCATGGTGGATATGTATATGTCATTGGAGGTTGTGGATATTGCATGGGAGATACTGTAGAATAAGCTTGAGACATGGAATACATTCCACGTGAATAGTCCGACGTCGTTGCAGAAGAACAGTATTTCCCGTAGTTCTTACAGTA